TCGAAAACTGCGTCCCAGTCGTGCTCCAGTCTCGTCCAGCCTGCTGCTTGTGCGTGGCGAAAGTCTCCTCGACTGACGTCGACGCTAACATTGGCCGCTGAGGTCACACGTTGCCAAGCGGGGCGAAGCGACAACGACTCGATGTGTCTCCATGTGTGCTGCAGCAGGCAGTTGATGGAGTCGTCCTTGCCAAAGCCCTTGGACAGCGCGTGTCGAGCTGGCTCGTTGTCGACAAACATGATGATCTGCTTGTCGAGGTCGTGCTGCAAAACGATCAGCGGTAGGACCTGTGCCACGACTTCTAACATATATATGTAAGCGCGGCGACTGGTGAATTCGCGAACAAACCAGTAAGGGACTGTGCCGTGCGCGTACACTGTGCGGCCCTGGATGGTGGCCACGAATCCCCATCCATTCCGCAAGGTCTCTGGCGGTGTCCGACCCCAGTTGGGGATGTCCTCGTCACCAGGCTTCCAGTCCTTGTCGAACAGGTTGAAGAAGGCGTCCGCGTACACCACCGAGCGTGGCTGCGGTGCGAAGTATAGCGTCCTGGGCGCTGCGTTCTTCAAACTCCATCGCAGAAGGCCAATCCCGTGCAACAGTTGCTGGTTGAGGCTCCACTGTTGATTGTCTCTCCCGTGGCCTGTGAGCTGTGCGCGGAGAAACAGAGGCCGGAGCGCTGCTGAGTGCGACCTCCCCAGCAAAGATTGACAGTAGAACTGCAGTCGGCCTGCCAGGCTGGATGCTTCGTTGGGCGGCAACCTGTTCGCTGTGAGGATGCCCACGAGGTCCTCGTCGAGGCGTTGTCGGCGCGCAGCAGTGCCAGCGACCTTCACGAAGTCATCATGTACCGAGATCTCGACGCCTTGTATGACCTGCGTTGTGTGCGGCGGTTGCTCCTTAGACTGTTTGAAAGAAAAACCTAGAGCTTTGCATAGTCTCTTGGAGCACTCAAAAGATGACGGCGCGAGCTCAGCATCCTCGCAGCTTCCGAAGTCGTCCACGAAGTGTAATGCTGGCGTAAGCAAGCACGCGCGACAAAGCCAGGACATGAGGTCTGCGATGCGACAGTAAGCCCATACCGAAGCCACGGACCCAAACATGAGCACCGTATGTCGCCAGAGGGTAATGCCATGTGGCGTTGGCAAAATGACCCATGTGTGGTCGGGATCTTCCGCCGCCAGCTGGCGATAGGCGGCCTCGTGGTCCAGGCCCCATATGAGTAGCTGCGCGCGCGGGTGCTTCTGCTTGATGGCGACCGCGAGTTGAACATATGCCGAAATGTCGTGGTAGGTTGGGCTGTCCTTTGCACCGACTGTAGCGTTGGCGAAGGAGCGTCTCCAATCCTCTGCCCTCCTCACTTTGGGCTTGCCGTCGGAGCCCACCTGGTGCACAGCGAAGGCGAAACAGGTGGGCTTGTGGGCTGCGGGTCCCTGTGCCAGCTTGCTGGTGTGAGAGAACGTCGTCAAGGGAACTGCCTGTTTCGGCCACGATTTCGGGCTGCTGAAGGGGCCTTCCATGCGTCCCTTGGTGACGTCGCCGGCGATCTCCTGGGCCATGGCCTCCCAGCACGGGTCGACGCGGCAACGGCGAAGCTTGTCCTGGACGTAGAGCTCGTTCTTCTGCAGGAACTCGTCGATCGGCATGGGGTCGGCGTAGCGAAGGTCATGTCGTGCTTTCCAACCCAATCCGGGTGCAAGCGGCCCTAAAAGACGAAACCCGTGCGTTAGCTCTCTAAAGATATCCCTGTCCTGCCAGCCGAAGAGGTTGCACACTTTTTCCAGAGCTGGGAGCTGCAAGGAGCACGTGCGAGTCTCACTGCGGTAGGCCTTCTGAACGTGCGGCGCGAGGCTCGAGTACCAGGCTTCCGTCTCCTCCTGTAGGTCGTCGACGAGGTCCTCGATCTGCTGAGCCACGGCGTTGCGAAGCTCTGTGAGGTGTGGCCGCATTCGTGACCACACTTGGAGCCATTGCCTCAATCCGGGCTCGATCGAGGCATCCCTTGCGTCCGGATGAGGCATGGTGCGTGATTGACGCCAGTGCTCGTCGGGATCCTCCAAGTGCGACAGGTCGAACTCGTCGTAGTCACCCGGTCCTGGTCCCAGCAAAGGAGACTTGCCCTGCCAAAGCGTGGCTGTGACGTCAAGCGGCGTGCCTCCGAGGGGGTTGAGTTCTGCTGCCGGCGTCGGCGGCGTGGCTGCAAACACTGCCATGATGAACATCAACCGTGCTGCGCCCGCGTGCCAGCCATTCGCTATGGCTTTGTGGCGGGCATGGTCGGGAAGCGACGCGGACCATCCTTTGGGCAAGTGATGCCATTGCTCCTTGACGTTGGCAGGAGGAAGTACCAGACGTTGGTCGCGATCCATCATCATCACGCCTGACTCGTAATGCCACGGAGCGTAGCGCCTCTTGTCAGCGAGCCAGCGTTGTGTTGCCTCCGAGCTGATCTTGCCCTTCGAGCTCCGCGGTGCTGGGCGTCCCTGCGGGTCGTCGGAAGGTGTGGTCAAGCAAGGCACCGGCTTGGCTTCCTCGGTTAGGCAACGTGGCAGGAAGAGGCCCTCGGTGTCGAAAGAGTCCGGCGTGTCCTTGTCCACGTCAAAGTGCGCCCAGCGAAGGTTGAAGGGGCAGTCCTTGCGGTGTGCGATCTCCTGCCAGGGAACGCGACACCACCAGACTCTAGGACGGGAAATCGTCCCAAAATCCGAAGCATCATGTACCACCGCGGGGGCGTCCAGCATGCGCTCCACTTTCCTCATATCCGCCCTGTTTTGCGGAATCACATTTTCCACTAGCAAGATGGCTCAGCTGCGACCCCAGGACTTCTCCGCGGACTGGATGAGCTGGGCGAAGCGTGTGAATTTCGAGCCCTCGTGTCCTGCGTGACCAGGAGCGTCTTGCCGGATCCTGGAAAAATCGTGACAAGGCGGTCCGCCCGCTATCACGATGCGCGCTCGACCGGACGGGTCGAGCTCATCAACAAGCTTCTGGACGGTGGCTGCGTCCTCCTGCTCGAAGTCGCCGCGAGGCGTCACTTGCGGGAAGTGCTCGGCTCCCAAGCTCTCCAAGTCCTTGTCGATCTCCCATGATGCCCCCGACCATCGCAGGTTGTGCTCCTTGCAATAGTTGTCGCATACCATGAAGGCCGTTCCCAAGCCGTCGAAGAAGCTCAGCATCACGAAGTCGGGCGCTGTGCGATTGTGCTTCCGAGCCACTGCCTCGCGGCTCTTGAGGGAGACTGCGAGCGGCTTGGGAGGACTGAGGGGTGGACCTTGTTCGCGACGGCGAGGGAGCGGCGACCTTGAGCGAGCGCAGGTTGAAGTCTCGACTGTTGCTGTGGCAAGGTCGGGTCCACCCCCATGGGATGGCCCGCGCTGTCCCTATTCGTGATCCCGGTGGTCACGATGATCGCGATGCTGCCCTTCGCCTTGTTGCCAGGACTTCCAGTGCTTCTGGTCGTTGGCGCGGTAGCGGTTGTCGTCGTGGCGGCGCCAGTAGTCCTTGTCCTCGTCGTACTGGCGGTGGTAGCGCTGTCCTTGCCACTGTCCACGACCTTTGCCTCGGCCCCGACCGTTGCCCTTGTCGCCCCCTTTGGTGCACGAGCGGTAGGGCTGCCAGTCCTTACCTTTGCCATGTCCGCGACCCCGGCCACCGCGACGGTCCAGCCAGGGTTGCTCGGTTTGGCGGGGCGCTTTGGTCGGGCGTTCCGGCTGAATGTCCCTATTCATGGCGTCCTGGAGGGCCTGGCTGTCGACGATGATCTCGTCAGCGATCTCCTTGAAGGGAGTGGCTTT